GATCTCGCCTATATCTCATCATCACCTCCAGCGTGACTCGAACCATGACACTTCATAGTTCAATCTCGACACGTTAGCCACCACACCACGTTGCAGGAGTACCCTAGGAAGACCAGGCATTTTCCCATATTCTATTCTATGGTGAGATTGTCGATCGAGCAAAGTTATATTTGCACTAGCAATCGACTACGCTACTTATTTATCGTATATAAGTAGACTTTCGAGACTACTCGTAGATCTTGCGTTGAAAGGCTAATTATCAAGGACAAATGAATGGGGACTGTTGACATCGTGAGGCCTTCTATTCCCGTCAATGAGGCCAGTTTAATTTGCTTCCAAATAGTCTATTATGTCTTTCATTACGTTTGGAAAGGATTCGTATAAGAGATTTACCGGAAACCGGAGTTGTGGCCATGGATTTGTGCAACTAAGTCATTAGAGCATCGTTTTTAGTCCCCGAAGTATCTGGACCGAGCGTTTTCTGACTCCGTCAAAGAATTTTCTCCCAATCTTCGTAACCCAACGACACTCTTGGAAATCTGGCCTAGTGGCTAAAGTGTCGAGATTGTACGTTTCCTTGTCAAGCTTCGAGTCCCACTGGAAGTGTTGATTAGACCTGGGCGAGGTCAAAACTGTAGTCCACTTCAGCGTAAATGAGGATTCGTTGGATTCATTGGAAATGTCTGGTCTACTGACATGATTGTGGGACAATTCAACCATCATTCTCCTTATCCTCCTCAACGAAATATGATAAATACATGTTACAAGCCCCATTCAGCCTCGCTCCAGGAATCGGCTTTCTCGTTCAGGCTGGATAGAGAATTCACTCTCAATCCTCATCGTTTCATTAGTCACGCGAATGCGACTCGAACCCCGATCGGCCGCCTTAACTGACAGGACGACGGTTCACTTCACTCGCCTCCTTCCCTCGTCCCCTTCCCACTCACCGGCTCGCTTGGACACATCCGGTCTCGCTGCCTCGGCGCCCACACTGGAACCGGTCGCATGCATTCGCTGTCGTCAAGCTTCCGCTCGCCACGAGCGTTAGAGAGTGGAACATGAATAACCCGGCGACTGTGAGGCTCGTTAAGACCCTGTACCGATGGTGAAATCGAAGCCTGCACGGACTGGGCCGAGTGTGATAGTCAGTTAAGCAGCTACGCAAACATTGTGCATTGTTTACACCATTTCGCAGCGCTTCGGCCTCACTTTGCATGTGCAGCAGTCCGCAATCGCGCCAACCAAGTGCACATGAGAGGACTTCGGCAGCCCAACGAGTTGGCCGATTGTCCGGCATGACATTTCAGTCTATGGATAAGCAATTTGGCCTTGCCTGACGCTCGCCCTCACTCGAAGTCAGGCTTCAGACTAGTTATATTCATATAAAGTAGGCATCGAAACTATCAGTAAATGTGGAATTAGAGTTCCTATTTGTATGCAAACGTATTGGTGGAGGTCTGGCGGACTGCTTGAGTCACAAACTGTATGTACTTCTAATGAGGCCAACTATACAGAAATCCGTTCAAGCAAAGAATGCGATCAATTAGGATGGATAAAGTGATCTTAGGGTAGAGGCAGGAGGATGAGAAGAAGCAGAAGTAGTAGAATTAGAATTTAAAGAGGAGGAGGTTGTCATGTTCGTGGTCGTGGTGGAATTTTTGGTTTGGAATTCAAAGACTTCGAAAAATTTCATTTTCGCATGCCTTTGTTGTTGTAGAGCCCGAGGCAATCGTGCTGGGTTGTATTTCCGGCAAAAAAGCCTTTTGGCAAAGGAAAGTATACTTTCATCGTTTTGGGACAACACCGCGGCCAAATGATTGTTCTGTCCTAGCAGCGTACTCATTATACCAAAGCGCTTGATTAGACAGAAATGTCCAATTGAAATGGAAATTATGACAATCAAACAAAGTAACAGTTTACACATGCAAAGCGGATTATGAAACGATGCTTTTTGCCCCATTCACCTGTACTACGACGTGATGGATGGTCAAAAATAAAATTTTCTCAAAATCTAGCATGACAGCCAAAGGGAAAATAGACATTGAATACGTGACATTATTCTGAGCAGGAAATCAGTTACGTGTTTGGAACAAAACGAGGACGAGGGATGTATTACGGTGTAGGCGAAGAGACAAGCGAAACGATCCAGTTCGTGTCCTAGTTTCCCTCATTGCTTGAACCATGAGTCCGATAACTCTAAAATTGTCTTTACGAGTAGGACCAAGAGTTTTTAAGATTCCCGGCTGTGTTAACATTAAGTCAAGCCAAGACATTGGAGCTCGTCAAAGATGGCGGATAGACAGAGTTCCGTCTGTCTGGAGCAAATCTCTCAGGCGCGTTCGAAAGGGTAACTGGGTTGTCCTGTCTAACATTGAAGGAGGGACTCGTGATAGTCAGCCATATATAAAAATAGATAAATAAAAAAATAAAAAAAATAAAAAAATAAGTAAGTAAATAAATAAATAATTAGTTAAATAAATAAATAAATAAATAAGTAAATAAATAAATAAATAAACAAATAAATAAATAAATAGAT